TGCCCCCACCCATCTCACCTGCCCCAACATTGCTGCACCTGCCCCCACCCATCTCACCTGCCCCAACATTGCTGCACCTGCCCCCACCCATCTCACCTGCCCCAACATTGCTGCACCTGCCCCCACCCATCTCACCTGCCCCAACATTGCTGCACCTGCCCCCACCCATCTCACCTGCCCCAACATTGCTGCACCTGCCCCCACCCATCTCACCTGCCCCAACATTGCTGCACCTGCCCCCACCCATCTCACCTGCCCCAACATTGCTGCACCTGCCCCCACCCATCTCACCTGCCCCAACATTGCTGCACCTGCCCCCACCCATCTCACCTGCCCCAACATTGCTGCACCTGCCCCCACCCATCTCACCTGCCCCAACATTGCTGCACCTGCCCCCACCCATCTCACCTGCCCCAACATTGCTGCACCTGCCCCCACCCATCTCACCTGCCCCAACATTGCTGCACCTGCCCCCACCCATCTCACCTGCCCCAACATTGCTGCACCTGCCCCCACCCATCTCACCTGCCCCAACATTGCTGCACCTGCCCCCACCCATCTCACCTGCCCCAACATTGCTGCACCTGCCCCCACCCATCTCACCTGCCCCAACATTGCTGCACCTGCCCCCACCCATCTCACCTGCCCCAACATTGCTGCACCTGCCCCCACCCATCTCACCTGCCCCACCCATCTCACCTGCCCCCACCCATCTCACCTGCCCCCACCCATCTCACCTGCCCCCACCCATCTCACCTGCCCCCACCCATCTCACCTGCCCCCACCCATCTCACCTGCCCCCACCCATCTCACCTGCCCCCACCCATCTCACCTGCCCCCACCCATCTCACCTGCCCCCACCCATCTCACCTGCCCCCACCCATCTCACCTGCCCCCACCCATCTCACCTGCCCCCACCCATCTCACCTGCCCCCACCCATCTCACCTGCCCCCACCCATCTCACCTGCCCCCACCCATCTCACCTGCCCCCACCCATCTCACCTGCCCCCACCCATCTCACCTGCCCCCACCCATCTCACCTGCCCCCACCCATCTCACCTGCCCCCACCCATCTCACCTGCCCCCACCCATCTCACCTGCCCCCAACCCATCTCACCTGCCCCCACCCCATCTCACCTGCCCCCAACCCATCTCACCTGCCCCCACCCCATCTCACCTGCCCCAACATTGCTGCACCTGCCCCCACCCATCTCACCTGCCCCCACCCATCTCACCTGCCCCACCCATCTCACCTGCCCCCACCCATCTCACCTGCCCCAACCCATCTCACCTGCCCCCACCCCATCTCACCTGCCCCCAACCCATCTCACCTGCCCCCACCCCATCTCACCTGCCCCCACCGCATCTCACCTGCCCCCTGCCCACGGCACAGACTTCCTGTGTGGTGCAGATAGAGCCCGACCCCATGCCCACCCGAATGCCGTCCGCTCCCCCCTCTATCAGCCTGCGCGCCTGCACAGGGGAGCAAGGGGGGAGGGGATGAGGGGGAAATAGGGGGGAGGAGGAGGGAGTTGGCATAAAAACGCACGAGAAAAGAGCAAAGTGTGTGAAACGGAAGGGACAGGATGGGAGGAGGAGGGGGAGACGCAAGGAACGGGAGGGGTGGGGGAGCCAGAGCTAGAGGGAGGGGAGAGGAGATTTGAAGAGACGCAGGGCGATGAGCGAGATGCAAAAAGGAGATCGCAAGCGAGCAGGGAAACCCGCCTGCTGTGCCTCTTACCTGGCGTGCGGTAACCACGTTCCCGGCAATTATCTGCAGGTCGGGGAACTGGCGCTTGCAGTGCGCTAGCATGGCCAGCTGGTAGGACGAATCGCCTTGTGATGAATCCAGCACCACTGGGGTGTGGAGGCGTAGGGAGGGGGAGGGGTGGGGAGTGGCGGAGAGAGAGGACGTGAGTAGTCTGCTTGCAGTGTGCCAGCATGGCCAGCTGGTAGGACGAATCGCCCTATAAAGAGTCCAGCACCACTGGGGGGTGGGGGAAAAGGGAAGGGAAGAGGGGGGGGGTTCTTTTATTGGCCAGCGTGGCCAGCAGCGCCCACCAGCTTTCACTCGCAACCCTAAACACTCTCCACTTCTAAACAAGTGTGTCAGACAGACAGACAGCCCCACCTACCGGCATCAACGCCCGCCTCCACCAGCGCTGCCACTCTCTCGCGGTCGCTGTCCCGCGTGCCCACAGCTGCGCCCACCAGCGCCCTGCCATCCGCCGCCAGGGAGGGCGGCCCGCGCGGGGGCAGCGCGAAGTGCTGCTTCAGCAGTGCGCGCGTGAGGAGACCCTTGAGCGCGCCGTCCTCTGCGACCAGCGGGATGCTGCTTCGCTTCGACTCCTGTGCGGGTGTGTGTTTGGCGGGGGGGAAGGGGACGGGCAGGGGACAGTGGGCAGAGAGGATGGGGCAGCGCCAAGTGGTGCTTGAGCAGCGCGCGAGTGAGCAGACCCTTGAGAGTGCCGTCCTCTGCCACTAGCGGGATGCTGCTGCGCTTTGACTCCTGGGGAAGAGGAAAAACGGGGAATGGGAAGGGATGGGGAGGGCAGGAGAGAGGAGAGAGGAGAGAGGAGAGGGTGGGCAGGCGGCTGGGCAAGGTGGTGGTTGAGCAGCGAGCGCGTGAGCAGGCCTTTGAGCGCGCCGTCCTCCGCCACTAGCGGGATGCTGCTGCGCTTCGACTCCTGTGCGTGAGAGAGGAGGGACGGGCAGTGGGGATGAGGGCAGCGCGAAGCGGGTTGCGGTCGGGTGAGAGTGACGTGCTGTAGAGTGTGCAGGCAATGCAGGTGGGCGGGAAAGGGGAGCGGGGGAGGAGAGGGAGGTTCGAGAGGCGAGGAGCGGGGGGCGCAGAGGCACCCTTCCGGCAAGCAGCAAGCAGAGCGCTGCAGGCAGGCAGACGGGCACTGAGCAGCGCACCTGGAGAAGCTTCTTGGCGTCTTCGTGCGAGCAAGAGGGCGCGGCGGTAATGAGGTCCTTGAGGGGCGTCATGACGTCCGATAGCAGTGCGGCGCTGAGAGGCGATGGGAATGGGAACGGGGTGATGGGGACGGGGGAGGGGAGACAGAGAGGAAAAAGGAGGGAGGGAGGACGGCAGGAGGCGGCAGTGAGTGAGGGGGACATAGAGGACAGGGGGAAGGAGGCACGGTGCGTCAGGATGCCAGGAAACGCGGCTGCTTCTCTGCCCACTTGGCTCTGCTTCCAGTCTTCACCACCTCTCCCCTCCCCCCACCCCCACCCCCAACCCTTTGCTACCCCCCTCCCCAACTCCGCCAATCAATCATTTCCTCACTCTTCCCCCCCCTCCCCCCCCCCCGCCCCCCCTCTCTCTCGTCACCCCACCTGGAGTCAACGAAGTCAACGTCGTTCCGGGTGACCACGCCCACCAGCCTGCCGCCCGCACTGCCGTCGTCCGTCACGCACACCGCGCCCTGCCCGCTCGCCTCCACCAACTCCTCCCATGCCTGGTGCGTGGAAGGCGGCGAGAAAGTGGGCGGCGCGAAAGGCGGACGGAGGGGGAGGGAGAGAAAGGGAGGGAGGATAAGGTGGGGGAGGGCGGGGAATACGGAAGGGAGAGTGGGCGGGCAATGCCCTTAGGTGACTGGCAGAACAGTCCACGTGTCGGTGAGCCACGTCATCCTTCACATGGCACGCCACTCTCGCACGCACATACCATGCTGCCACCCACTCCCATCCCGCACAACACCCCGCTCCCCACCTACCTGCACAGTGCTTGTGGGCGGCAGAGTGGGCGGCGCGTTGACCACTCCCACGCGCCACTGCTTCGCCTGCCGAATCATATCCGCTTGCTCCTGCACGCTGTTGTTGTAGTGGATAAACCCCATCCCCCCCACCGCCGCCATCGCCGCCGCCATTTCCGCTTCTGTCACCGTGTCCATTGGCGAGCTGACAAGTGGCATGCGCAGGGAGATGCCACGTGTCACGCGGCCGGTCAGGTCCACGTCAGACGCGGCGAAGCTGATGTGGCGCGGATGGAAGATGCAATCGTCGTACGTGTACGCCACGCCCTGCAATGCCACGTGGCAAAGCACTATTGAATAGGGTGGTCGGGAAGAGAAGGGGACGCGCTTCGCAGCGGAACGAATCGGACGGCGGAGAGGGGCAGTGGCGCGCAGGGGCGCTTCGTAGCGGAGGAAGGAGTGCCACGTGGCGGTACCTGATTGAAGATCTGCTGCGCCGTGAAGCCATCGTTCTCGAGCTCCAGCAGTTCCGCCGCTGCTCCGCTGCTCCCCATCGCGCCCGCCGCCGCTCACGCTGCTGTTCGCTCTGAGTCGGCTCAGACAGTACCGTCACTGACGCAACCGATGTTTCGTCGAAACGACGTAGTTATTAACTTTTAAGCGCGATAATGCGTAGCTCTGGGCGGGAGATCGCAGCTTGCGTAACGTGATGGAGCAGCAGTGGAGGGAAGCAGGACCAAAGTGACGGGAAGAAAAGTGTAAAGGTTTTTGAAGGGTGCAGGGTTGGGGACAAAGACCGGGCTGATGGAGTTGTTTGGTTTGCAGAATGATTCGGTAGTAGATTAGTGTTTTTTCGGGTGTAATATTTCGTACAGATTACAAATTTGGTCTCTACACAATGTTTCGCTGAGTCAGCTACACGTCACCTGCAACACAAATTCGTCCCTTTCCTGCCACACATTTCACTGCCCTTCCCTCCCCTCCCTTACACACCCCGAGTTCCCTAACTAGAACCCATCATCCCCGATACGCCAACCCGACGCGATACGCCCACAGGCTCAAAAGTTCAGCAAGGCACTTGGCTCCTAGTGAATCGTGATGTGACCTCGAAGACCAAGTAGCAAAGCATCGTCACGCACGTCAACGGAAACTGCGCGCAGCCTTCTCCTTCCCGCTAGCCCTACTTCCGTCTCCCTGCTTTCGCCCCAGTCCACAACCATCATCCACACGTCGTCGACTCGCTTCCGCGCGTCACTCATCCCCCTCCTCCACCGCTCTCCGCCGAGAGCGCGCGTGCCATGGGCATCGCGACGTTGGACCTGCGTCCGGGGGTGGGTCTGGGGCCCTTCTCGCTCGGTGCGCTCCCCCAATCCCGCTCCTCCTCCTCGTCCTCTTTCGCTGCGCGCTCTCTGCACTCTCCGTTACGCGATTTCCCCGGCCGCCGCTCATCCCGCCCGCGCCCCCCTCGTTTCCTTGCTTTCTCTCACCCGCTCTCGCTCTTCACGGGCTCGTTTCGCGTTTCTTCGTCGCCCGCTGGTAACCACATTCCCACTGCTCTTTCCCCCCTCGTGTCTCCCCTACCCGTGCTGCGCCCTGCTGCCTGCCTGCGCGTGTATGCGTGTGTATGCGCGTGCCTGTGCGTGTCGGCGTGTGCGGTGCGCGTGTCTGCGCGCGCGGAGAGCAGGTATGGCGGTGTGCGAGGCGTTGGCGGAGGTGGAGGCGCAGCTGGGCGTGTTCGACAGCATCGTTGTTAACTACTGCCACCAGGTGCGTTGGTTGTCGTGCCGTGGGTGGGGTATGACTCATCACCACAGCCACATCACAGCCACATCCACACACACGGAACTACCAGATACGTTGCGTGTCGTGCCGTGCTACCACCACGTGGAGGTGGAGGGACAGCCGGGCGTGTCGTGTTCGACAGCATCGTTGTCAACTACTGCCACCAGTTGCTTGGGGTGCTGTGCCGTGTCGTGCTGCCACCAGTTGCTTGGGGTGCTGTGCCGTGTCGTGCTGCCACCAGTTGCTTGGGGTGCTGTGCCGTGTCGTGCTGCCACCAGTTGCTTGGGGTGCTGTGCCGTGTCGTGCTGCCACCAGTTGCTTGGGGTGCTGTGCCGTGTCGTGCTGCCACCAGTTGCTTGGGGTGCTGTGCCGTGTCGTGCTGCCACCAGTTGCTTGGGGTGCTGTGCCGTGTCGTGCTGCCACCAGTTGCTTGGGGTGCTGTGCCGTGTCGTGCTGCCACCAGTTGCTTGGGGTGCTGTGCCGTGTCGTGCTGCCACCAGTTGCTTGGGGTGCTGTGCCGTGTCGTGCTGCCACCAGGTGGGTTAGGGGGTAACCCATCGCCCTTTTTTTCCCCATGACTCATGTTAGAGAAAATGGCCAATTTTCAAACCCCCATTTCCGGCCCCTCCCCATGCCCCCTCCTTCCCACACCCCCTCTCCCCCACCCCACCCCCCAGGAGCCCCTATCGCGCGACATCGTCATCGCCTTCCCACACCTCGGCTTCCGCCTCTGCTTCGACCCTCACGTGCAGGTGAGGCCTTCTACCCGCATGTCCAGGCGAGGCCTTCTACCCGCATGTCCAGGCGAGGCCTTCTACCCGCATGTCCAGGCGAGGCCTTCTACCCGCATGTCCAGGCGAGGCCTTCTACCCGCATGTCCAGGCGAGGCCTTCTACGCGCATGTCCAGGCGAGGCCTTCTAATGTCCAGGCGAGGCCTTCTACCCGCATGTCCAGGCGAGGCCTTCTACCCGCATGTCCAGGCGAGGCTTCTCGTTTCTCCCTCTTGCCCTACACGTTCCCCCATGACCTCTTGCTCTCACACACCTGCCATCTTACCTTCTCACATGCTTCTGTCGCCCATTCGTTCTTCCCCCGCCCCCATCCAACCCCCTCCCACCCCTTTTCCCCACCATCGACTGCACCGCATAGACGTGGCGGACATCTCACGTCTGCACGCTGCCAACTGCCCTCTTTGCATCCACTCTTCTCCTACTCCTCCCCCCTTGCCCCCTCTCCCCACCCACCAGCGACTGCACCGCATAGACGTGGCGGACATTTCTCGCCTGCACCTGCGATTCGGAGCCTCGCTGCTCGGGTATGCCTGCCTGCCCCCTCTGCCTGCCCCCTCTGCTATCCCCCACCCTCGTTTGGAAACGCTCATTTATCTGCCAAGCGCGCTGAAAGGCTCCGTATGCTGTCCTGCTCCCTCTCTTCCGCTCACTTTCTTTTCCCTCGTCGATCTTGCTGCACCCAGAGGCCCCATGCAGGCGCCCACGTTCGCCCACGTGTATTCCGTCCTCGGTCCCACCTTCCCCGGCGCCTACACCACCCAATCCGCCTGCTACACCCTCGCCTACCCGGTACTGCTCGCCCTGCGCTGTGCCCTTCGCTGTGCCCTGTGCCCCCTGCCTTGCGTGCTGTGCTTGATCACGTGCTGTCCCACCTTCCCCGGCGCCTACAACACCCAATCCGCCTGCTACACCCTCTCCTACCCGGTGCTGCCCCCGTTGTGCTGCGCCCTTTCCCCTGTGCCCTCTGCCCTTCGCTCTGCGCCTTGTGCTCGGCACCCTGTCCCCTGCGCCCTCTTCCCTCTGCCTGCCCTTGCCCACCATCTGCTTCCTTCACCTTGTTTTCCCCCTCCGTCCCGCCCCCTTCTCCTCTCACCCTACGTGCTGGCAGGGCATGGCGCTGCTCTTCCCCATCCCCGCCCCTCACCAACATTTCTTTCAACAGCCCACACATGGTCAGTGCCTGCCCTGCTCCCTTTCTCCATGCCCCTTCCATTATCATTCCCCCGCCCCCCTCCGCCTTGCTTCTTCCCCTTCCTCCCCATTCCCCCGGCCTCGCCTCTTCCCTGCTCCTCCCCTTCCTTCCCCCTCCCTGCTCCCTGCTCTCTCACAACGCCCTGCTCTCTCACAACGCCCTTCTCTCTCACAACGCCCTGCTGCGCCTATTCTCCCTCTCTGCATGCTGCCCTATCATTCCTCCCTCCTCCTTCCTCCCGTTCTTGCTCCTTCCTCCCTATTTCTTCCCATGCAGCTGCCGGACGGCTCAGCGCCCCGCCTCTTGCGGGTTCTGCTGCACCTGCCGGGGGAGCCCGCTTTCCACTCTTGCCTCTCCCCATCCCTCTATTCCCACCCCTTCCCCTTCCCACTCTCCCCCCCTCCTCCCTCCCCCTCCCAGACCTCCCAATGCAGCTGCCAGACGGCTCCGCCCCACGCCTATCGCGAGTGCTGCTGCACCTGCCAGGGGAGCCTGCTCTCCCCGCGCAGGGGGCGGGGGGAACAGGGGGTGTTGGGGGAGCAGTGGGCGCAGGGGGCGCAGGGGGCGAAGAGGGCACAGGGGGCACAGGGGGGGCAGTGGAAGGCGGGGAGGGGGAGGGGTTGCGGCGGGCTGCGGAGCGGTTTGCGTCGCTGCCGCTGGTGATGGCGAACGGGGCTGTGTACATGGAGGCGCTCCTGGTGCAGGTGAGACTGGGGTGCGATGGCCTAGAAGACGAGGTGCATGGGAGATGAGCGTGCACATGAGCGTGCCGCTGGTGATGGCGAACGGGGCCGTGTATATGGAGGCTCTGCTGGTGCAGGTGAGGGTGGGACGCGATGGCCTAGAAGGCGGTTCTTGGTGCATGGGAGAGAGATGAGCGGTGAGCGTGCACTTGCACTTGAGCATTCCGCTGGTGAGGGCGAGTGGGGCCGTGTACATGGAGGCTCTCCTGGTGCAGGTGGGTGGAGTGTGATGGCCTAGAAAGCAGCGCATAGTGCATTGGAATGAGCGTGCACATGGGCATGCTGCTGGTGATGGCGAATGGGGGCGTGTACAGGGTGCGGGTTAATGAGAAGGCCCAGCCCAGCCTAGCCCAGGAGGCCAGGCTTTATGTGATGCGGGAGGCAGGGGAAATGGGCGTGCAGTGCAGGTTGGGAACAGTGCCGTGTGTGGAGGCACTCCTGCTGCCAGTGGGATGGTTGAGGATGCAATATGCTTTACAACGCCATTTCCCTGCTTGCTTCTTATGACTGCCCTTCCCTCCCCACCCTCCCTGTGTCCCCACCCTGCTCTCCCCCCTTCCCTGCCTCTCTCCACCCTTCCTTGCCCCTATCCCTCCTCTCTGCCTATCTTCTCCCCTCCCCATCCGTTCCCACCAGCTGGGAGAGGCAGTGCTCTTCTCACAGGGCGGCCAGCGCATTGCCTTTGGGGACTCCGCCCAGGTCAGCGCCTCCCATGCCCCCCTGTCCTCCTTCCCCTCTCCGCCCACTTGCCCCTCCTCTTCCCAACCGCTCTCTCTCTTCCCACCCACTTGCATCCACTTTACTCCTTCCCTACTCCTGTCCTCTCCCTTTTGCTCCCGTCTCTCACCTTTCTCTCCTCCCTTGCGTACCTCCCTCCCTTGTGTCCTCGCCCTCCATATCTTCCCCCCTTCCTTCGTCGCGCCAGGACGTGTGGTCGGAGCTGGGGCGCCCGTGCTTCATGGGCGCCAAGCAGGTCATGCCCCAATGGCTTCATGGGTGCCTTCAACGGAAGGGAGGCGTGGCTGGGGCAGGGGTGGCTTGAAGGGGTGACAAGGGGCAGGGGTGACAAGGGGCAGGGGTGACAAGGGGCACGTGTTTCCTGGCAATGCATGGTAGATAGCAGCATTGAATGGATTCTCCCGGCTCCCTACTTCTTTATTCTACCCATAATGCCTATTCCACCCTTTCCTCCATTCCCTTCCAACCATTGTCAAACACCCCCTGGCTCCTTGCCCTCTGTGCTAACTCCTCCCCCTTCCCCCCCCTGTGCGCCTATCCCCTCTGCAGGACTCCGCCAAGGCCATTCATTCCGCCCTCGCCCCTCCCCTCTCCTCCTCCCCCTCCTCGCCCCTCGCTCACGCCTCCTCGCCGGCTCTCTCCCCATGCTCCTCTCCACCGGACTACATCTGGAGCTACTACACCCGCGGGCTCGATATCATCTTCAGTGGTCAGGTGAAAACAACAGAGAGCTAGCATTCACGAGATGCTCAATGGAGAGATTGCATGTAGCAAGCACACAAAACCATCTGCTTGTCCTTCACCCTTGTCCTTCACCCTTGTCCTTCACCCTTGTCCTTCACCCTTGTCCTTCACCCTTGTCCTTCACCCTTGTCCTTCACCCTTGTCCTTCACCCTTGTCCTTCACCCTTGTCCTTCACCCTTGTCCTTCACCCTTGTCCTTCACCCTTGTCCTTCACCCTTGTCCTTCACCCTTGTCCTTCACCCTTGTCCTTCACCCTTGTCCTTCACCCTTGTCCTTCACCCTTGTCCTTCACCCTTGTCCTTCACCCTTGTCCTTCACCCTTGTCCTTCACCCTTGTCCTTCACCCTTGTCCTTCACCCTTGTCCTTCACCCTTGTCCTTCACCCTTGTCCTTCACCCTTGTCCTTCACCCTTGTCCTTCACCCTTGTCCTTCACCCTTGTCCTTCACCCTTGTCCTTCACCCTTGTCCTTCACCCTTGTCCTTCACCCTTGTCCTTCACCCTTGTCCTTCACCCTTGTCCTTCACCCTTGTCCTTCACCCTTGTCCTTCACCCTTGTCCTTCACCCTTGTCCTTCACCCTTGTCCTTCACCCTTGTCCTTCACCCTTGTCCTTCACCCTTGTCCTTCACCCTTGTCCTTCACCCTTGTCCTTCACCCTTGTCCTTCACCCTTGTCCTTCACCCTTGTCCTTCACCCTTGTCCTTCACCCTTGTCCTTCACCCTTGTCCTTCACCCTTGTCCTTCCACCCTTGTCCTTCACCTTGTCTTCCCCTTGTCCTTCCACCCTTGTCCTTCACCCTTGTCCTTCACCCTTGTCCTTCACCCTTGTCCTTCACCCTTGTCCTCACCCTTGTCCTTCACCCTTGTCCTTCACCCTTGTCCTTCACCCTTGTCCTCAACCACCCTTGTCCCTTCACCCTTGTCCTTCACCCTTGTCCTTCACCCCTTGTCCTTCACCCTTGTCCTCACCCTTGTCCTTCACCCTTGTCCTTCACCCTTGTCCTTCACCCTTGTCCCTTCACCCTTGTCCTTCACCCTTTGTCCTTCACCCTTGTCCTTCACCCTTGTCCTTCACCCTTGCTCCTTCACCCTTGTCCTTCACCCTTGTCCTTCAACCCTTGTCCTTCACCCTTGTCCTTCACCCTTGTCCTTCACCCTTGTCCTTCACCCTTGTCCTTCACCCTTGTCCTTCACCCTTGTCCTTCACCCTTGTCCTTCACCCTTGTCCTTCACCCTTGTCCTTCACCCTTGTCCTTCACCCTTGTCCTTCACCCTTGTCCTTCACCCTTGTCCTTCACCCTTGTCCTTCACCCTTGTCCTTCACCCTTGTCCTTCACCCTTGTCCTTCACCCTTGTCCTTCACCCTTGTCCTTCACCCTTGTCCTTCACCCTTGTCCTTCACCCTTGTCCTTCACCCTTGTCCTTCACCCTTGTCCTTCACCCTTGTCCTTCACCCTTGTCCTTCACCCTTGTCCTTCACCCTTGTCCTTCACCCTTGTCCTTCACCCTTGTCCTTCACCCTTGTCCTTCACCCTTGTCCTTCACCCTTGTCCTTCACCCTTGTCCTTCACCCTTGTCCTTCACCCTTGTCCTTCACCCTTGTCCTTCACCCTTGTCCTTCACCCTTGTCCTTCACCCTTGTCCTTCACCCTTGTCCTTCACCCTTGTCCTTCACCCTTGTCCTTCACCCTTGTCCTTCACCCTTGTCCTTCACCCTTGTCCTTCACCCTTGTCCTTCACCCTTGTCCTTCACCCTTGTCCTTCACCCTTGTCCTTCACCCTTGTCCTTCACCCTTGTCCTTCACCCTTGTCTCACCCTTGTCCTTCACCCTTGTCCTTCACCCTTAGTCCTTCACCTTGTCCTTCACCCTTGTCCTTCACCCTTGTCCTTCACCCTTGTCCTTCCACCCTTGTCCTTCACCCTTGTCCTTCACCCTTGTCCTTCACCCTTGTCCTTCACCCTTGTCCTTCACCCTTGTCCTTCACCCTTGTCCTTCACCCTTGTCTCACCTTGTCCTTCACCCCTTGTCCTTCACCCTTGTCCTTCACCTTGGTCCTTCACCCTTGTCCTTCACCCTTGTCCTTCACCCTTGTCCTTCACCCTTGTCCTTCACCCCCTTGTCCTTCACCCTTGTCCTTCACCCTTGTCCTTCACCCCTTGTCCTTCCACCCTTGTCCTTCACCCTTGTCCTTCACCCTTGTCCTTCACCCTTGTCCTTCACCCTTGTCCTTCACCCTTGTCCTTCACCTTGTCCTTCACCCTTGTCCTTCACCCTTGTCCTTCACCCTTGTCCTTCACCCTTGTCCTTCACCCTTGTCCTTCACCCTTGTCCTTCACCCTTGTCCTTCACCCTTGTCCTTCACCCTTGTCCTTCACCCTTGTCCTTCACCCTTGTCCTTCACCCTTGTCCTTCACCCTTGTCCTTCACCCTTGTCCTTCACCCTTGTCCTTCACCCTTGTCCTTCACCCTTGTCCTTCACCCTTGTCCTTCACCCTTGTCCTTCACCCTTGTCCTTCACCCTTGTCCTTCACCCTTGTCCTTCACCCTTGTCCTTCACCCTTGTCCTTCACCCTTGTCCTTCACCCTTGTCCTTCACCCTTGTCCTTCACCCTTGTCCTTCACCCTTGTCCTTCACCCTTGTCCTTCACCCTTGTCCTTCACCCTTGTCCTTCACCCTTGTCCTTCACCCTTGTCCTTCACCCTTGTCCTTCACCCTTGTCCTTCACCCTTGTCCTTCACCCTTGTCCTTCACCCTTGTCCTTCACCCTTGTCCTTCACCCTTGTCCTTCACCCTTGTCCTTCACCCTTGTCCTTCACCCTTGTCCTTCACCCTTGTCCTTCACCCTTGTCCTTCACCCTTGTCCTTCACCCTTGTCCTTCACCCTTGTCCTTCACCCTTGTCCTTCACCCTTGTCCTTCACCCTTGTCCTTCACCCTTGTCCTTCACCCTTGTCCTTCACCCTTGTCCTTCACCCTTGTCCTTCACCCTTGTCCTTCACCCTTGTCCTTCACCCTTGTCCTTCACCCTTGTCCTTCACCCTTGTCCTTCACCCTTGTCCTTCACCCTTGTCCTTCACCCTTGTCCTTCACCCTTGTCCTTCACCCTTGTCCTTCACCCTTGTCCTTCACCCTTGTCCTTCACCCTTGTCCTTCACCCTTGTCCTTCACCCTTGTCCTTCACCCTTGTCCTTCACCCTTGTCCTTCACCCTTGTCCTTCACCCTTGTCCTTCACCCTTGTCCTTCACCCTTGTCCTTCACCCTTGTCCTTCACCCTTGTCCTTCACCCTTGTCCTTCACCCTTGTCCTTCACCCTTGTCCTTCACCCTTGTCCTTCACCCTTGTCCTTCACCCTTGTCCTTCACCCTTGTCCTTCACCCTTGTCCTTCACCCTTGTCCTTCACCCTTGTCCTTCACCCTTGTCCTTCACCCTTGTCCTTCACCCTTGTCCTTCACCCTTGTCCTTCACCCTTGTCCTTCACCCTTGTCCTTCACCCTTGTCCTTCACCCTTGTCCTTCACCCTTGTCCTTCACCCTTGTCCTTCACCCTTGTCCTTCACCCTTGTCCTTCACCCTTGTCCTTCACCCTTGTCCTTCACCCTTGTCCTTCACCCTTGTCCTTCACCCTTGTCCTTCACCCTTGTCCTTCACCCTTGTCCTTCACCCTTGTCCTTCACCCTTGTCCTTCACCCTTGTCCTTCACCCTTGTCCTTCACCCTTGTCCTTCACCCTTGTCCTTCACCCTTGTCCTTCACCCTTGTCCTTCACCCTTGTCCTTCACCCTTGTCCTTCACCCTTGTCCTTCACCCTTTGTCCTTCACCCTTGTCCTTCACCCTTGTCCTTCACCCTTGTCCTTCACCCTTGTCCTTCACACTTGTCCTTCACCCTTGTCCTTCACCCTTGTCCTTCACCCTTGTCCTTCACCTTGTCCTTCACCCTTGTCCTTCACCCTTGTCCTTCACCCTTGTCCTTCACCCTTGTCCTTCACCCTTGTCCTTCACCCTTGTCCTTCACCCTTGTCCTTCACCCTTGTCCTCCCCTGTCCTCACCCTTGTCCTTCACCCTTGTCCTTACCCTTGTCCTCACCCTGTCCTCACCCTTGTCCTTCACCCTTGTCCTTCACCCTTGTCCTTCACCCTTGTCCTTCACCCTTGTCCTTCACCCTTGTCCTTCACCCTTGTCCTTCACCCTTTGTCCTTCACCCTTGTCCTTCACCCTTGTCCTTCACCCTTGTCCTTCACCCTTGTCCTTCACCTTGTCCTTCACCCTTGTCCTTCACCCTTGTCTCACCCTTGTCCTTCACCCTGTCCTTCACTTGTCCTTCACCCTTGTCTCACACTTGTCATCACCTTGTCCTTCACCCTTGTCCTTCACCCTTGTCCTTCACCCTTGTCCTTCACCCTTGTCCTTCACCCTTGTCCTTCACCCTTGTCCTTCACCCTTGTCCTTCACCCTTGTCCTTCACCCTTGTCCTTCACCCTTGTCCTTCACCCTTGTCCTTCACCCTTGTCCTTCACCCTTGTCCTTCACCCTTGTCCTTCACCCTTGTCCTTCACCCTTGTCCTTCACCCTTGTCCTTCACCCTTGTCCTTCACCCTTGTCCTTCACCCTTGTCCTTCACCCTTGTCCTTCACCCTTGTCCTTCACCCTTGTCCTTCACCCTTGTCCTTCACCCTTGTCCTTCACCCTTGTCCTTCACCCTTGTCCTTCACCCTTGTCCTTCACCCTTGTCCTTCACCCTTGTCCTTCACCCTTGTCCTTCACCCTTGTCCTTCACCCTTGTCCTTCACCCTTGTCCTTCACCCTTGTCCTTCACCCTTGTCCTTCACCCTTGTCCTTCACCCTTGTCCTTCACCCTTGTCCTTCACCCTTGTCCTTCACCCTTGTCCTTCACCCTTGTCCTTCACCCTTGTCCTTCACCCTTGTCCTTCACCCTTGTCCTTCACCCTTGTCCTTCACCCTTGTCC